CACACACAGGCGCACACAAAAACAGCGACACACATAGAGACACACACGTACATACAGATACACGCTACATACAGATACACTCATCGACACATGGAGAGACAGAGACACACAGACAGATACACACACCCCCCCACACACACACACATGCACATACACACACACACAGCCACACGCACGCACACACACACAGATACACACACACAGACACACACACACAGACACAAGCACGCACACACACACAGACACACACACACAGACACACACACACAGATACATGCACGCACACACACACAGACACACACACACAGATACATGCACGCACACACACACAAGAACAGAGACACACATAGACACACACACATACATACAGATACACACACACATAGAGACACACACTTTTCCTCTCCCTCTCTCCCCTCATACACTCACCCTCTTAACATACTGATTATTTTTCACGTTATTTTGAACAGTAAACAATTCAGACATGATGACTTCCACAATACCACTGTACTGAAAACTGGAAGGGAGACTTCCCGTTAGTGTTCTGGAGTCTGAATTACAAAGAGAACAATGACAGGAGACTCTAATGAGATCCGCGATGTCTTGTTGTGTAAACCAAGCTGCTGCTTCTGTTATTTTCTCCCTGGCTCTGCCTCTGTGCCCCTGGTGCAGATTTTAAAAGGCAGACATTAACAGCTGGGTGCCTTCTCTTTGCCTTCTCTCCCCAGCACCCTGACACCCATCACCTACACCCCCAGTACAGACTGATCCTCCTGCTCTGTCAAAATCCTGACTCTACCTGGCAGGCTCAAATCAAAAGCTGCCTGATCACAGCAAGGCATCTCCACTGACAGAAGACAGAGAGAGAGAGAGAATTAAATCCTGTATTCCGTCTCTCTGTTTCTCCACTGGGGATCTCCACATCCAGAAGGTAAAAAAACACATTCCAATAACTATCCTTACTGGGAGATGGGGATGATCTCAAGTTCCAGTCAAATCCAATCTTGTTTATACAAACCCCCTTTCCCCTCAAACTGCACCCAGTATATTATAATCCTGTGGTTAACCCACTGCAATGAGGCACAGCAAGGAACGGCTACTCACCAGTTGTTCATGTTTTGCCTTTATCTCCGTCTCTGTGTGTAGACAAGGCTTGTTCTGGCAGGGCTGGGGGAATACCTCTCCCCTTCTCTCTCTCTCTCTCTCTCCACTAGCTCCCTGTCTGTAGTCCACTCCTTTGTTTTCCTCAATGCTACACTCCAGCCCCTCCCTCGACCACTGCCACCAACCCCCCCCAGCTCCTCCTCCTCCTCACACACCTCCCTCCCTCTGTGCCCTGAGAGCAGAGAGCTGCCAGTACCCACAACAGTTTTAGAAAAAAATACTCCAACAGAAGCAGATATTGGAATATTACCTCACTCTCACAGACCCTACCAACTAGCTGCAGGAATGGAGAGAGAGAGAGAGAACTGTGCTTCACAGTTCCCAGCAAACAGACCCCTCCACACTTCTCCTTCAGCTAACATCTCTCTCCACTCTGTAGGGTGGGGGGACTGCCTTCCTCCCAGGCTGGTTCGGTGTGAGGGGGGAGTGGTGCAAACTGAGAGAGAAAGAGATAGCGTTCCCCCCCTGCATCAAGGGAAACACTTATCTCAGAGCGTTGCAACTCCTGCCTTCACACTGCAAATGGTCTACTCCAGATTGGAGGCTCCTACAGTGACAGAGACGCAAGGCATTAACTGTGAGCCTGCTGAATATCTCTCAAACAGATTACTGCTCTCTCCATTGCAATCACAAACAGATCATCAATGCCACTGAGGAGGGAGACGGATGAGAAAAGGAGACACATATTGTTTTACAATCCCTGATTTCCACTGTAGCCGGCCGCTCCACATTACCACACGTACTCACACCTGAAAGGCAAGACAAGCAGTACAAGACGAGAAGACAGAAAAATGCGTTTCGATAGCGCTTTCTAACACTCCTGGATGTTCCAAAGTTTTTTACAGCCAATACATTTGTTCAGAGGTTCGGTCGATGCTTAAATGTAGGAAACTCCTTAACTTTCAGATGGACCTAACACAAAATAAATTTTCTGATGATCACCAGGATTACTGAGTTACTAATGTTAGAGAAGAAGGGAGCAGGCAAACATTCCTCTGGCTTGGGGATCTTTAATATTCAGTTGAATTGTGACACCCAATGCCGTAAACTCTCACAACTGACCCTCTGACAGTGCGGCGCTCCCTCAGTACTGACCCTCCGACAGTGCGGCGCTCCCTCAACACTGACCCTCCGACAGTGCGGCACTCCCTCAGCACTGACCCTCCGACAGTGCGGCACTCCCTCAG